ACCAACTCTGGGCTCTAATCCAAAACCTTAGAGTGGGCAAGGGTGTATCTCCAAAAGTCTGACCTAGATTTTTCTGAGTGGTGAATATAGGAGTTTTTAGGATTAAAATAAAAAAAAGCTGCTGAATAAGTGGCTTAATTATGCAGCAAAGCCTGTGGCCTAATTCAGTACTTACAGAGCAAATTCCCAACCCTGGGATAAATAATGTGGTTAAAGTTTCATAAAATGGTATTGTGAATTGCAGTTGTGCGTTGTGCCAAGAAATATGGAGTGGGGGAATTACATCACAGTTGTTATGAATTAAGCTTTTCTAATGATAAGTTACAGAAAATGGCAGAGGCAGAAGATGACACTATTTTGTGCACTGACTTAAAAACATGATGTAAGACTCTATGAGTTTTCTCCTAATTGTATTCCTATTGCCATACATTTATGGGGGAAGAAGGGTCTATTAAAATAAAAACTGAATTCTGCCTAGAATTCTAAATGGGTGAAATAGTCACTGAAAGATTTTGTTAGCATTTTACAAGACTCATTTCTAATTAATCACTCCTTCAAAAACGAAAATATGTGGTGGTCAGCAGAGCTACGTGATGTACATGCGTGGGATTTCTTCCCACAAACACAGGATATGCAGTCTGGCTTTAGATGTGCCTCATGTGGTTTTAATTTTTCTTTCTGTCTTCCTTTTTTTCTTCCCTTCCAAGGGAGACAGGGTGCTGCTTGGAGGACCTGGAAGTTTTTACTGGCAAGGTGAGACATATCATTTAAGTCACAGAGAAGATGACCTTTATGATTTTTCTCTTTTTGATCCACAGTCTTACAGCTGCTGTCAGAGTCTTTGTCAGTAAAAAAACTGATAGAAATATTCTTTTGTTCTTAACTTAAGAATATCTCCTGAATAATCAAGGCAACCACAGATAATGGTTGTAATAATAATAGTAGAGTTGTTCTTTGTGTTTTAAATAATTCCATGATCATTATAAAGTCATTTTCCTGGAACATGGGTTTTCATCAGCAGATAAGTTTCCTTTAGCATATTTTATTTTGCTATGTACATGTTTTATAATTTGACACACTTACAAAGTGTACATTTTCAATGAGAAATATCCCCTTTAAAGAGAATTTCATTGTTTTTCTCCGATGGCAAAGATGTTTTGCATTTGCATTAATTGGTTTGTGCTGCAGAGCACACTTTACCTCTACCTGGCATTACCTGTATATTTTGCTCACGTGGGATTCAGGATTATTCAGCCTTTACCTGCAGCTCTCTGTTCAAAGGAGGGTGCTGCTGTAATCAGGACACAGCTGCCAAACTCTGCTGCCTGCTTTTTAATGGAACTTCTAACATTTATTAATAGATTTTCTGTACCGTGCCAGCCTACATGTGGGTGCAGCAGCACAGGAGACTTGTTCCAGCCCTGTGTTTTAAATTACAAACAAAACTGAAAGATTGAAGATAAACTGCAGATACAATATTGCATAAATTAGGTTCCTGTATTCATTTTATGGCTTTTTGGCAAAAGTGACACTTTATCAGCTAAAACAACCTCATCCTCTTCTACTACTACCAAAAAAGCCCACTTGGCTCTGAATAGAAGACAACAGTATGCTCCCGAGAAAAAGACTTTTCATCCTAAACTTCTATTCCACATGCTGAAATGCTGGAGGAGGAGTTTTCCCTTCCCTTCATACATATATGAATACGTATGTGAAGTAAGTGCTATTCTGAATGGGGTTTTTTGGTGATTCAAGCTTTAATTTAGACTCGAAGAAAAGCATGTAAAGGAGTCACCACCTAGTGGCTGATGAAGTGAAAAGGGAGAACATGGCAATACACCGTGCTCATCTCCTTTTTTTTTATTTTATTGGCTTCTTGTCTGCCACAACAGGCTCTCGTGTTGTGGTATTTGAGCAAGGAGCACCCAAAGGGCTCAGTTCTGCACAACCATGAGCATGTGATATCTCAGCCCTGCCTTTTCAGCTCTACCTTCGTTTGGCCTCTGCGTGAGAGCTCTGGGTGTGCCTTTGATCAATACGTGCACACGTTTTTGCTGGAGTAGGATACATATTTTCACTCGTGTCCTTCCTGGCACTGCTGCAGTTGGCCCCTTTCTGGTCAGTGTTGTGGAAGAGCTGCTGCTTCTGAGAGCAGCATTCTGTGAATGAGTCCCTTCAGTGAATGAGCCCACCCATTCTGGTTGTGGCTTGCAGCTGCTTTCTCTCTCTTTAGGCCAGCTGATTTCTGATCGAGTGACAGAGATTGTGGAAAAGTATGACTCCAAAGTCTACAGCACCAAGTATGATGACCAGCTAGCAACCAGACCTGCCAGTGCTGCTTTTGATGACAGCTACTTGGGTATGTGGTGGGAAAGGAGAAACCTCTACCTGCAAAACCCCCTGCCACTATTGATGCTTACATCTAAATCACACAAGTAGTAATTCCACATCTAACACATAACAAGGGAGTGACATTCCTGAAAATGCAGTCATTTATGTATGATGGAATTGTAGTTATTTTTTGTAGTTATTTTGCCGTAGGCTTGACTCAAAAAGCACCTGATGACAAAATAAATGGAAACATTTTCATGATTTTCCGTGCTCTGTGATTCAGGCTGAATATGGGAATGGCAAATGTATGACTTTTGTATGGGAGCTTACTCACATAGGTAGTTGTTTGTTTGTTATTTCAAAGCAGCTGTTTCTAAATAACCTACCAAAACAAAAATGTTAAAGAATTGTGTTTTGGAAGAAAAACAATGTGAGGAGTGGGAAATCATCATTTTGCTTCACATATATCTAACCAGGCTCAGGAAAAAAGCAAGGACAATTCTCAGGATGATAATCTTAAAATTTTCATCTTCTGATCTCAAATTCCTGGATACTGATGAGTTACAGCCACTCCTGGAGCTCTTCATAGTCTAAGCTGCGTCAAGGCAATATTTTTACCAGTGCATCTTAAGATGAAGAGAGGAGGGCTGTGCACAGAGACAAAATGTAAAGAGAGATGAAAGGTTCAATAAGGTTTTTAAGGCCTCATCATGTCTCTGCAGGTTATTCAGTGGCTGTTGGCGACTTCAATGGTGATGGCATCGAAGGTAAGCCCCTTGCTTCAGTAAGAACATCATGTTAATAGGCTGGGCAGACCTTTCAAATCAGTGGTACAGTGCACAGGGAAATGCCTCAAGTGCTAGGAATGAGGTGTTCTGTTCAGCAGTCACTGTGCCTTGGGACCTGACTGTTACCTGTGTCTTGCTTTATGTTTCAGACTTTGTATCAGGAGTCCCACGGGCAGCAAGAACTCTGGGCATGGTAAATAATTTGAAACATTAAACTTTACAATGAATTTAAAAAATGAGGCTATTGCTGGTGTGCTGTAATGTGTATTTCTTCACGTGCAGGTGTCCATTTACAATGGGAAAAACATGTCCTCCATGTACAACTTCACTGGAGAGCAGGTGGGTGACTCTGCTGAGTGTGGTGAATGACCAGGAAGCCTTTCCTATGTTGCAGCAGTATTTAGGTACTAGATAGCAGTCTCTATATTACTGGCTTGATTGCCAAAGTAAAATTTTATGAAGTCTGAGTGAATTCTAATCTTATTTAAATAAAGGAAATTCTGCCTTTTTTGATAGCTGGGAAAGAGACTGGATCATGAAAGGGGAAATGGGAAAAGTAACCAATGGGTTTACTTTCTAAAAGAGTATGGAAGATAAACAAAAAAGAACAAAAAAACCATTGTGGCATATATTATCATCTTGCTGATGTATTTTGTGTACAGATTTGTGTAAAGTTGTTTGCTTGTATCACTACAACTCATAGGTTTGGTTTGAATTTTGTTTTCCAGATGGCTGCCTATTTTGGGTATTCGGTGGCTGCCACAGACATCAATGGGGACAAGTAAGTGTCCTCTTCTCCCTCTTCTCACCAATGCCATCCAACTTTTTTCTGGAAAGAAAAAAATAGCTTTTATTAAAAGGTCTTTCCCAAAATCTAGATTTCTGTCTTCATTGCTGGTTTAATACATCTGCACAACTCTTTTGCTAACACTCCACATTTGTTTTAACATTTGTAGCTTCGTTTCTGCATTTATCTACATAAATACATGTGTATATTCACATGCTTAAGGTCCATTAAATTTTTGTATATTTGTGCTTACTTGGTCAATAAATATTTGCCTTCAGTTGAATTTAAAGATAATGAACTTTCATCTGAGCGTTGACTTCAGTGCTGAGTTAACAGTGCTGAAGAGAATGAATTTTCATGCTACTACTGAAGAGCTCTGTGCCTTTTTGATCCAGTTACACAGATCTGTTTATTGGAGCCCCTCTTTTTATGGATCGAAGTTCAGATGGGAAGCTTCAGGAGGTTGGCCAAGTAACCATCTGCCTTCAGCAAGCCTCAGGAGGGTTTCAGACAGAAAAGCTGAATGGCTTTGAGATCTTTGCGCGGTTCGGCAGCTCCATCGCACCCCTGGGGGACCTGGATCAGGATGGCTTCAATGGTAGGATGCTGATTCTTGGTCAGGATCTCCTGGTTCTGGAGGATGATGCCTCAGGTTTTAGCTTTTATATTTTTCAGACTCTGTGCTGCTTTAGTGTGCACTTCTGAGCTTAATATTAAGGGATGGTGAGCTCTCTTCACAGAGTAGGGAGACAAAACAATTCCTTCTCTAGCTGGGGACCAAGGACAAATGATCCAAATCTCAGGCCCAAGAGCATAAACAATGTGGGCTGAAGAGAGAAAAACAAGCAGGTTGGGACTGCATGGGCTGGAGCTGTAATTGGACAATTAGCTCCAATATGCTAATAACCCAAAACTTATAAAAATGTGAGACCCTGTGACCAGTTGCCCATTTTGTGACCATTTTGGTTCAGCTTGGGTGTAGCCCTGGCTGGGCTCTTGTGCTGCCCAAGATAGATCCATTGAGGCCTCCTAATAAGCACCTACTTTATTCTTTAGCTCCATCCAGCCTCTGTTCTAGGGCAGCCTTGGCAAGGCACCAAGGGAGCCCAGGCAGCACAGAGAAGGTGGATTCTGCACACAAACACTCGGCGCTGTAGCCGTGGCCGAGTGTGGGATGCTGAGGTCTAGACTCCTTTCGATGCTTGTATGCTACTCCCAGGAATGCCAACAGGAGTTCCATGGATGCATCGAGCAGAGACTATACCACTGACACCACAGCACGGACTGCTCTAGCTCTTACACTCACCACTTGATTGCTTTCTAAGCCATGAACACAATAGAAACTTTAATAAAATACCTGACCCTCCACTGTGACCTGTTAGGAAAACTTCAATATAATTTTCCTCTTTACTAAAATGGTTTAAAGACCATTTTCCTCTCTAGAAACACAATGATGACAGAAAAGAAGGTTTGATTTCAGATTGCTGGTTAAAAATGTTCACATAAAAAAGATTTTTCTGAGAAAAGAGTAGTTGGGTTTGGTTTTTTTAAATTTATTATTCAAAAGGGAAGAGCTTGGTGGAAATACTGCATAACAGCTACAGCCAGATGTACCAAGAGCTGAGTGTCTTGAATGAGTAATTGGAAGAGAAGTTTGAGTCTGACACAACTGGAGCTGAAACTCTCAAACCCCTTGCCTAAGCTTCTTGTTACTTTCTGATAGGAATGAAAAGCAATAAAGCAGACAAGAATCACGTAGTGTTGGGATGGAGATTTCCAAGAATCCTAGGGAGAACACTTTTTAATGCCCATTATACTCCAGTGTTGCCTAAAGAGTAGTGGGAATTTGAGTTCCACCAAAAATCTTAATTTTTTCCATTCTGCATGCAAGCTAAGTATTTTCTGTCAGATCAAAAATTACAATAGATGGTTACTTCAAAATTCCCAGGTAGCTCTAAGTTATTTTTGATGAATCCATAAATTTATAGTGTAGTTGAAATTGGAAGGGACCTTTTTAGTTGCTAACTGTATGTAGAATCAGTGTGAAGATGTAATATCACTGCAGCTATTTACAGAAGACATTGGACAGCTGATAGCCAAAATTCCAGTCACTTGATGAGATTATCCCAAACATTTTTTGATTCCACCATACTTACATTTGAAATACACTGTGGGAAAGAGAATCATAGCAAAAGTTGCCTCTTTTTTAATTGCTTTGCTGTTATTTAGTCTGTTTGTTTTGGGTTTTATTGCTCTGCCTCATTTTGGGAGTGTTAATTAAAATGCCTTCCATCACAGTATGGTGCAAGATAGGAATTGTTACTGTCTTCATGAAGTTTGTAAATAGGAGTTTAAGATACAAAACTGTAAACTTTTGAGTCCGTATTCTTTTCATCAGACTTTCCCAAATTTCAGAAAAGAGGAAGGAGAAATGTAATTATTCCAAGTAGTGTTTTGTGTCTGGTCCTTGAACTGTCTGTGGAAATGTTGAAATTAGATCATATGTACACTTCTAAAGCTGTCCTTACAGATAGTCTAATTAGCATTTTGTTTCCTACCATTTATTAATCATTAACAGTGAGTACTTTAAAATTTAAGAGACAGAATAACTGCACTAACTGGAAATTCTCCATAAAGCATGCTGCAAAACTACAGGACAGACTGGATTTTAATATTTACCATTGGTTTAGGATGATTTTAATTTTCCAGAGTTATCAATATGTCCCACCCTTTGGAAGAACATGAGCATGTAAAGGAAAAGGGAAGAGTCACACTTAGTTTTGTGGTTTGGCACCCACAGTGACTAACTCAGCTTCTTTTAATAATCTCAAGAGCATCCCAAATGCGCATGATTTTACTAAAAAAAAAGTCACCACAGTGGAGAGGTTTTTGTAGAACTATTTCTCCCCTTCCTTTCCCCGTAAAAGGCTTTGACATGTTCTTGTTAAACATTTATACTTTGTAGAAAAAAACCAGCATCTAATAATAAAAGAAAAAACAGCACTAATAAAAGGAATAAAAAACAAACAAACGATGAACATTTTAAAGGCTGGTTGCACTTCCTCCCTACCGACACACATTGAAACTGTAATATCAGAAATTATTGATTGATGTAAGCACAAATACGTTCTAATTTGAGTCTGGAGACGCTGATGATTCTTCTTTTGATTTTCAGACATTGCAGTTGCTGCACCATATGGGGGAGAGGACAAGAGAGGACTTGTGTATATCTACAACGGAAGAGCAAGTGGTTTGAACGCCGTCCCATCCCAGGTCCTGGAAGGGCAGTGGGCTGCTCGCACTATGCCCCCCAGCTTTGGGTACTCGCTGAAAGGAGCCACAGATGTAGACAAAAATGGATATCCAGGTGCTCTGCTCCAAGCGGCACTTTATAATAATTCAGTAGCAGCCCCACCCTTGAGAAACAGCGTATTTCACAAAGCCAGTTGTAATGTGTAATGTGTCTCCTCTCTTTCTAGACTTGATTGTTGGAGCCTTCGGTGTTGACACAGCTGTTCTGTACAGGTAAGGGTCCCTCTGTGCTTGTACCTGAGTGAAAGCTCAGTGCAGTTCTGGAGCTACCAAAGAAAGCAGGATCAGTGAAGTCTGAAAATTTGGCACTCCACCATCCAAACCTCTGGAGTGAAAAAACACTATAGAGCTTTTTTTACTGAGTAAACCTGTCTGCTGTCTAAAATTCATCTTTCTCAATAATATGTAGTCAGGAGAAAACATTAATAAGCTGTCTTCAAGGCTTTCTGAGTGACAGTTTTCTAGATTTTGACACAGCAGCTGCAAGCTATTACACTGCAATTCCAATATTCTCATCCCAACTTGCTCATTTTGGGAGAATGTATTGGTCTGTGCTATAAGTAGATAGGACTTCCTCTTTACACAGTTGTCCCTGTTGTGGCTGATGGAAATGAAAGGGCACTGAAAAGTTTCATCTAGTTAATGGTTATTTGTTTTCCTTGTGGTTTCACTAAATACTGTGTGTGTGTGTATATTGCACAATTTGATGGGGGGAGCATTGTCAAACATGGTGTTGAGTGCTCTTCAAGAGGATGTTTTCTTTGCAGGGCTAGACCAGTTATTAGAGTAAATGCTGCCCTGGAAGTTAATCCAACCATTCTAAACCCAGAAAACAAAGCCTGTTCACTGGGAGATGTAAAAGTTTCTTGGTAAGCAGTGTATCTATGTTTTCCTTTGAGGGGGGACTTCTTTAGTTTAATTTTATAAGCTTCCAATTTTGAAAGGTCTCAGGAAGCTAATTTTTTAAAAAAAGGACAAGCACAGATTTTTCTGAAAGAGCAGACAGTACAAAATAAGAACTCTCTGACAGCAGTTGGAGGACCAGCACTGTCTTTAGATGCCAGACTGAGTCCCAAAACCTGCAGAGACTGACAGTTGTCCCTGTTGAGCAGTGTAAGGTCTTCTCAAGACATCAGCACATCACATGGTATTTGCAGTGTTTTTACCCACTAACATACACACTGGAGCAGTGATCTGCTCTGTAAACTGATTTTGCTTCTGGTTCCCAGGTTATTATCCCAACCCACTTTCCCTTCCTACTGCTATCTTTCTTTTCAGGGTCAGTATGATAGGTTTAAAAATCAGACCCATTTGATTACAGAAATAAACATCCCAGTCCACAGGTGATTGTCCCTAGATGAGTCAAGACTCCAGAACTTTGCAGTGCCTGCAATTCTGCCTGCTTAGTTTGTCTTCCATCAGTAGAAAATAGCTTTTGAGAATGAGCTAGAGTCTCAAAAAGAGGATACATCTGAACAGAAGTAAATAGTGAGGAATTTTAGAAGAAAATGAGAGAAAAAGTGTGTGAAATTATTTTTTTTCTTCCCAAACAGCTTCAAAGTAAAGTTCTGCTTAAAGGCAGATGGCAAAGGGAAGCTCCCGAACTCACTCAGTAAGTTCTGCTCGCTTAAGAATTGGAAGTCTTGTGGTGTTGTTTGCAGACATGAGCACTGGTCATTGTTATTTTCATGACAAACAGCTGGGTGCCCTTTGCAGCCACGGCTGACACTTGGGTGCCATGTACATCCATGGGACTCTTCAGCAGGCTGTTCTGGCTGCAGCAGTGTAGAAGTCATTTGCCCATACCTGAGCCTTTAAACATATGTTCAACTATGTGGTTAACTATTCATGGAAAGCCCTTTGTATTTTACAGAATTTACAGTAACTCTCATGGAGGGGAGTTTCAGACAAGAATATTCAAGTTTGTGCATTGCTAGGCCTGAGAGATACAGACAAGCCACAGGGAACTTGTCACATCCTGTTGAGATCGTGACTTCTTTCATCAGATTCTCAGATCAGAATCAGGAAAAAATTGTTTCAAACAAGTGTTTAAGTTGTCTCCAAGAGATTTTTTTGTGTGGCAAGCAGCCTGCTGCCAATCAGGTTTTGTCTACTCATTGCACAAAATCTTTTCCTTATTTTTTGTGGCACGTACAGAGGTGGTGTGATTTTGGAAGGCTCATATGAATATGTGTTATGTATTTTAAGTTTTATTATCTATATCAAATATTTCAAGTAATTAGATTAGCAATAGTATTTTAAATGTTATGTGCCAGATTGCTTTAAATTTTCTAGGGGAAAAAATAATCCAACTTTAGTTCTTGCAGTTCTACAGCAATTACAAATTATAAATGTATCTGTGTTCTTAGATATTTCCAGTGTTTAAGGAAAAGGCAGAATCCAATTTAGGAGAGCAGCAGTGCTTGAGAACCAATGTAGTGACAGATTTTACATGCTGGAAGTTTTAAGAGGGCAAGCACTAGGTTTTCATTGTAGTTGAAATCAGTGTTCAGCTCCACTTGTGAGAGAATTCTGCACTGTGTTTAATGGAACAAGTGTCCCTTACCCAAACCCTTTGGCTTGGCCAGATTTCCAGGTGGAGCTGCTGTTGGACAAGCTGAAGCAGAAAGGAGCCATCAGGAGAGCTCTGTTCCTGCACAGCAAACAGCCCAGCCACTCGAAGAACATGACAATTACAAAGGGGGGCAAAATGAACTGTGAGGAACTTGATGCCTTCTTGAGAGTAAGTAGCCATTCATGTTCTAGGCAAATAATTTTTGGTGCTTTGTCTATTATAAGTTCATTGTGTTAGGTTTAAAACAAAAAACAAAAAAAAAAAAAAAACAAGGAAAAAATGCTAGAAAAACTCTGTTTTCAGTGGATGGACCTGGAATTACTAAAACCACACATCTGT